TCTTCTGGTTTCCACCCGCAGTCAAATGGTCAGGCAGAGAGGGCAAATCAGAGCCTGGAGGCGGCTCTTCGCTGTGTGGCGGCACGGAATCCAACTGCTTGGTCCACTTTTCTTCCGTGGGTTGAATATGCCCACAATTCGATGTCAAGTTCTGCCACTGGTCTCTCCCCTTTCATGGTGTCGCTGGGTTTCCAGCCTCCTTTGTTTCCGTCACAGGAACAGGAAGTGTCTGTCCCCTCAGTTCAGGCTCATCTCCGCCGGTGTCGTGCTGTTTGGAGGACTGTTAGGTCGGCCCTTATCCAATCGTCCGCTCGCAATCAACAGAGTGCCAACCGCCGTCGCTCTGCTGCGCCGGATTACCAGCCAGGACAAAAAGTGTGGCTTTCATCACGCGATCTTCCCCTTCAGGTAGAGAGCAGAAAACTGGCACCCAGGTTTGTTGGACCCTATGAAATTGAGAGGATTGTGAACCCAGTTTCGGTCAAGTTAAAGTTGCCTAACTCCCTCAGAGTACATCCGGTTTTCCACGTTTCTCTGCTCAAGCCTGTTGTGTCGAGTCCACTTTGCCCTCCTTCCTGTCCCCCTCCTCCCCCCCGTCTTATTGATGATCACCCTGCATTCACAGTTAGCCGTATTTTGGATGTTCGCCGCCGGGGACGTGGTTTCCAGTTTCTGGTAGACTGGGAGGGCTATGGCCCAGAGGAGCGGTCCTGGATTTCCCGTCACCTTATCTTGGATCGTGGTCTGATCCGGGACTTCTACCGCCAGTTCCCGGACAAGCCTGGAAGGCCGCCAGGAGGCGTCCGTTGAGAGGGGGGTCCTGTTGTGGTTTGCCTCCCCCGTGTGGTTTTGTTTTGTTTCAGGCATGGCTCCTGTTGGGTGTGGTCTTCGAGCAGGCACAGCTGTCTTCAGTTCCCTCATCACCACAGTACAAAGTCTCCAAGCTGATCTCCACTCATCGTCAGATTGTTCTGTCTTCCACCGTGGTGACTAGACCGTTTTTCCTTGCCTATGAGGGTTTTTGCTTTGTGACTTATTTTCTCATTTTTGATTTTTGTGTTCCTAGTTCCACTGCCTGCTCGGAGCCCCCCACTGGACCAAGCCTTGCCCTGTTTCCCTTCAGCCAAGCCTGCTGCACTTTTTGTTAATAAATATTTTACTGCCCTTTTGCCGTCTGCTTTGAGGTCCTCTCATCTACCCTAACATAGAAGTCTGTGTGATGAAAATTGGGGGTAAAACTTCAGATCCTCGTGGCCGTATGATAGAGAATTGTCACCTGATCTGTCGTTTACCTACTCTGAAATATGCATGTCTGGCTCCCATAGGCGTCCGAATATTTGGTGACCATCCCTATCCCATTTAGAGTAAGGAGGCAGGCCAACGACTTTTTTCTCTAAATGCCAGGGCAGTTCATATGTGGCCCAGTATTTGAGCTTTAGAATATGAGCAGCTGCAAGTGGGTGGGACAATTGAAACGCTCTGCAGGGAGCATTTTTTATGGACCTCAAATGAAAGTAGAAGGATGAACTTGCTTCTCGTGACGAATGCCAGATTGGAATACTCTAATTTATTAGCAGTACGTCTGGACAACCGCCTGAGGGTAAAGGGCAGGGAAAAAAGTGGTGTCAAGTTCTCAGCCTATTTATTATGTCCCCTCCCAGTCTGTTCCAGTGCCTCTACAAAAGGTGCTTCCATCCTTCTTCAGCGAGGGAACCAATTTGCAGCTGGGACGTCTCGCCTCGTACCCAGATGGAACGACTGCGCCGACTGCAGTCCGTCTCTGGCTTTTATTGCGGGGCATCCAATACTTCAGAGCAGTGCAATATGCGTGCGAAAGATCAGGCTCATCGTAAGTAATGGGTGTTCTGATGAGCACCACTCCAAGCCTATTCCCTCAACGCATCCAGTTGCTGACCTTCTCTCCAACACATTGGTGAGTCTATTTCCTGCTTTTTCATTAGTTGATTTCAGGAGATGATGATATCTTTAATGACTCAGAAGGACAAAACACGGGATCCCCACTGAACCTTGTTGAAAGACCTAAGGTCCATTAAGGCAGTGGATGGGTTCTTATTGCCAATGTGACTCATTGTTTTTACTTGTTCCTGTCACTCGAAGTCCTCTCTGGTAACCATCAAAGTCTATTAGACTCCTTTGTCCTTCCCTCACACACTCGATCTAATGTCCTGGTAGTCATTGGCTGTCACTGCATAATCCCAGTTTGATTGGGCCATCCAAGATCAACGACATGGAGGCATTTCTGCCACTCTAATTTGTCTCCGTTCCCCGCATCCCCCACCTGCCCTGTCCCTACTACCACTCAACCTGCACTAACTGATCTTCTCAGATGTGCCCCCTGAGTATCATGATTTGGCGAAGTTTTCAAGCAAGGATCGAGACCGCTCTCTTACTCCACATAGGCATGGACTGTTGCTATTGACCTTTTCCAGGGGCACCTTTACCGTCTAGCCGTTTGTACAATCTCTCAGGTCTGAAAGAGAAAGCCATGGAGAAGTACATTCATGATTCACTGGCGTCCGGTCACATCCGGTCCTCCTCCTTCCCTGTTTGCAGCCGGTTTCTTTGTAGGCAAGGAAGGATAAGACCTTTGCGCCCATGTATTGATTCCATGGTCTCAATGATTTCACAGTAAAGAACATGTATACATCCCACTAATTGATTCTGCCTTTGAGCCTCTGCACAGGGTACCGGTTTTCTCTAGTGGACTTCGCATTGCCTACCATCTTGTGCGAATCGAAGCGTTGAGATGTGGCGAAGACGGCGTTTTCAATCTCCACTGGCACTTTGGATTATCAGGTAACTGCCTTTGGGCTCACAACGCACCAGCAGTCTTCCAGTCACACCTAAATGATGTTTTGAGGGACATGCTCAAACAAGTTTATTTGTGTTTTACCTGGAAGACAATTTGGATTTTCTCCAAAGACGTCCAAGAGCAAGTCCAGCAGGTTGAGTAGTGCTAAAGAGACTATTGGTGAAACAAAATCTACGTCAAGGCTGAGAATGTGAATTTTCAAAAACCTTAGGTTAGTTTCCTCGGGTTTTTTATTGAAGAAGGAAGACTGTCGCAAGACAAGCCAAGATTCCAGGCTGTTGTTGAATTGGCCTACACCCAAATCCCGTAATCTGCTGCAATGATTTTGGGTTTTGCCAATTAGTACAGACGTTTCATTAGAGGACTACAGCCAGCGTTGACAGCTCCCCTTAACACGTCTCACCTTACATCGTTCCCCTTTGATCTGGGACCTTGAAGCTCAAATTGCTTTTGATTGGCTAAAAAAGTCACCACTGACCTGTTTTTATCCATCCTGATTCCTACAAGGGAGTTACAGAGGAGGTGGATGCACAGACTAGGGGTGGGGGCTATTCTGTCACAGCGATCCCCAGAAACCAAAAAAAATAAATAAAAAATTCACCATTGTGCATTTTTCTCGAGGCGTCATACTAAGGCAGAGGGCAACGTATGACATGGTAATCGAGATTTGTTGGAGTGTCTCAGCGCTTTCTGATTGGAGGGTCACTGGTTGGAGGAACACTCCACACGTTTATATATTTGGACTGACCACATGAACCCTTTTCTCTTACCTCCTGACGGCAACGACGACTGAATTCCCGTCAAGCGGGGATAGGCCCCTTTTCCTGAAAAGGTTTAATTTCTCCTTAACTTACCGTCCAGGGTACAAAAATGCAAAGCCTGATGCATTGTCTCGCTTGTACTCCCTTGAGAATGTGACTCTGTTCCAGGCACCATCTTGCCAACTTCCTGTGTTGTAGCTGCGTCCCACTGGAGAGTGAAAGTGTCGTCCTTGAGGCACAACGTACAGAGCCGGAACCTGGCTGATGGCCCTCCAAAACAGTCTTTGTTCCTACGGCAGTCCGCTCCGAGTTCTTTCAATGGGGTCAGTAATCTAGCTAAAGTTGCCACCCATGTATCCATCGCACTTTGTACTTCATAAAACAAAAGTTCTGGTGGCCACTATGGCATCTGATTGTTCGTGAGTTTGTGTCTGCCTGTGATGTCTGTGCCTCGTTGTAGCCCTTCACATCTTGCCCCCTGCTGTTTACTGCATCTCCCTTTCCTGTGCAATTCGAGCCCCTGGTCGCATATCGCTGTTGACTTTGTCTCTGGATTGCCCCCATCACAAGGGTAACTCTGTCTTCTCTCACTATTGTGGAACGGGTTCTCCAAAGCAGTACACTTTGTTCCCATTACCCAAGATTCCTTCTGCCTTGGTGACAGCTGACCTGTTAGTCCTTATGTTTTGCGTTTACATGGATTTCCAATAGACATTGTGTCGGACCGTGGGCCAATTTTCGTCGCAGATTTTGGAATGCTTTTTGTACTGCCATGGTGAATCGGCAGCGTGTCTCTCTTCTGGTTTCCACCCGATGTTCAATGGTCAAGGACAGAGAGGGCAAATCTTAGCCTGGAGGAGGGCTCTACTTTGTATACTAATTACTGGCCAGTGCCTCGCCCAGTCTCTGGACACCATGACCTTAACTCAAGGCACTAGCGATTAGCATCAGGGAAGAACCCAATTGAAACTAAATTTGTTCATTCTAGTATACAATCTTGTAAACGTGGAGACAATATGCAAGTCGCAATTGATCTTCATGTTGTGCAGGAAACAAGCAGCCAAAATGCGCACTTGGACTACTGTCAAGATTGTGGCCATAGTAGAGTAGAGCTAAAGTCTAGCCTAGCTCCTGGCCCTAACCTTAACCATAGAGGGGAACAGCCCTAAACTTAACCAGTCACAGGAAGACATAAATTGGAAACTAAATTAGTTCATTGGTTACTCAACAAGAGTGGGGGGGGCGGAGCCTGTACACCATATAAAAGAGGACACCGAACAGAGTGCCTCCAGTCAGTGTAGAACTCGCCTGAAGAAGACACAAGAAGCTGTCGAAACGTAGCGCATACAATTTTTCTACACATACACTCTACTATAGAGCAATTTTTTGAACCCCCTGGACACAAGATGGCGGCCATCATGGTGGTTGCCAGTGCCCAGAACACCCGCTTGGTCCAGAGTCAGGGAGAGGGCCCGTGCATTTTGTTGTACCCTTCGGGGGACAATGACTTTGTATACTACCCTAACCCTAACCCTCCAGGGGAGATGAGGCAGAGGGTCCAGAGGGTAACCCAGAGACCCAGTGACAAACGATCGAAATCTGCCCCAAGCGATGAGGATGATAATGAAAGCACCGAGGCCCCGCGGCAACCGACGCGACACCACTGGTTGTCCTGGACCACCCGCTCCCTATATTCCCCATATAGGTCCCTTGGAAAAGGTGGTTTGACCTCACCTTTTTGGGCAGCAGCGTGAGCCCGGGGGTTTCAGCCCGGGACTCCCGGGCTGAGACTTGTATTGAATTTTTTCTAAGTGTTTCACTTGTAGTACCAGACACACGAATCAAATTTTTTCTAAGTGTTTCACGTGTTGAATTTTTTCTAAGTGTTTAAGTGTTTGTCTAGGACTATCTAACCCCAACCCGGGAAGGAGGCCTCCAACTGGGATCCCAGACCTCCAGGACCAGGGGGGTGTCACTGGAGGTATTTAACCAGGGAAGGAGGCCTCCAACCTGGGAAGGAGGCCTCCAACTGGGATCCCAGACCTCCAGGACCAGGGGCGTGTCACTGGAGGTATTTAGCCAGGGAAGGAGGCCTCCAACCTGGGTTAATGACACCCAGTTCCCTCATGGTACTTGTCGACTATGGCCTTCACGGCCCTTACAAGGGCCTCGTCTTCACGGCCCGCCCAACGGCTTCGTCTCCACAAGAGGCAGATTTCGATCGTTTGAGAGTAGGATCACTGGAAGGCCCATGGTAATTCGCCTGGTTCTCCTGGACCACACCTCTCTCCATATTCCCCATATAGGTCCCTTGGAAAAGGTGGTTTGACCTCACCTTTTTGGGACGCAGCATGAGCCCGGGGGTTTCAGCCCGGGACTCCCGGGCTGAAACTTGTATTGAATTTTTTCTAAGTGTTTCACTTGTAGTACCATATGGAGCTATTATTGTTTCAATAATATTTGTGTGTGCGTAAACAGATTTGTGTGTGCGTAAACAGATTTGTGTGTGCGTAACCAGATTTGTGTGTGTGTAAAAGAAATATTTGTGCGTGTGTAAATAGATTTTTATGTACGTATCAAGATTTGTGTGTGCGTTAAAAAAAAAAAGTAAGTTTTACACACAAGTTGTTTTTTTTACACACGAATCTTTTGACGCAGTCCTGCCTTGGCAGATTCGCAAGTGTAACTTGGACTGTGTGTGTGCGTAAACAGATTTGTGTTTGTGTAATTTGACATGTGTATCTGTAGCAGAACAATCTGTGTGTAAATAACCACGTTGTACGAAGAGAAGAACGGACAAAAGCCTAAGTGCTACGCACAGGCTCTGTTTTACATACAAATCTCTTTTTGACACACCTCTGCCGCCAAGCGTGTGTCAAAAAGATTCGTAAGTGTAATGTGGTTGTTCCAGCAGTACACCAGCAGATGGTGCTGTTGTAGCTGGTTATTACCTACAGGCAAGCAAACCAAAACCTACTGCCTTGACAAGACACACTACCGCAGCTGTTTATATTTTTTTCCTATATTTAAAATCTTGTCATTCACACCACTGTATGATACATGGAGCTATTATAATAACTGGTTTGGGTGTTACTAGCTTGGAGCTGAAGAATTCTCGCGTACTGCAGACTAAATTCACGTGGGCTACACAGACATGTTCCCCATAGAACTCAAAGTAAACAAAAACAGCTGACAGAGAACCTACAGCTTTCATAAAAGTCGGATTTTGTGGGAATTTTTGTGTTCCTTGTCATCCTGAACTGTTCTTCTTCTTAAATCCTTCGGTTTTCTCTATCTACACTATAGTGCCACAAACTCTGCTGGTTTGCTTGCGTGTATAACCAGCTACAACAGCACCATCTGCTGGTGTACTGCTAGAACAACCACATTACACTTACGAATCTTTTTGACACACGCTTGGCGGCAGAGGTGTGTCAAAAAGAGATTTGTATGTAAAACAGAGCCTGTGCGTAGCACTTAGGCTTTTGTCCGTTCTTCTCTTCGTACAACGTGGTTATTTACACACAGATTGTTCTGTTACAGATACAAATGTCAAATTACACAAACACAAATCTGTTTACGCACGCACACAGTCCAAGTAACACTTGCGAATCTGCCAAGGCAGGACTGCGTCAAAAGATTCGTGTGTAAAAAAAACCACTTGTGTGTAAAACTTACTTTTTTTTTTTAACGCACACACAAATCTTGATACGTACATAAAAATCTATTTACACACGCACAAATATTTCTTTTACACACACACAAATCTGGTTACGCACGCACAAATCTTTTTACGTACACACAAATCTGGTTACGCACACACAAATCTGGTTACGCACACACAAATCTGGTTACGCACACACAAATCTGTTTACGCACACACAAATATTATTGAAACAATAATAGCTCCATAGATGAGAAAACCTCTCAGCAATTATTGGCTGATGTAAAACATATTTCCTTTACAGTCTACATGTCTACAGTTGAGAGGATGGCTCATAAATTGTGTTTTTGAAACAAATATGGGTCTTAGTCGCGCTCATCCACGGCTTGTATCACCGTGAGGCCTCAGAGGAGCTCATGTGAGTGCAGAAGTCGGCTGCATACAATTCCATCGATAAGGTCCTTTCTCTTCCTGGTTTATCTGCTACAGGCAGCAACAGGTTTGGCTAACATACATATAACACATTTTAAGATAATTTAAAATGCACTTAGGGTAATTTTTCAATGACTATAGGAATGATAAGAAAGAGGTGAAGTGTAAGACGGTTGATTTTAGAAATTGGATGCACTCGGCTGCAGCAAAACAGAGGAGTTTATGGAGGACACACGCGTTTTGTTTTACTTTTTAAAACTCATTGGACTCATTTCCAAACGGAGGATTACATATCTACGCTCAAACTATTATCTGGACTTAAACACAGAACTGGTCTGAACCGAAGTGGACTGTGCAGGTCATTTATAAGGTAAGACCCATAACTCATAATTTTGCGTTTTGTATGAACAAACAATGCGGGCATGAAACATATTCTGCTGTAGCCAAACAAATTGTCCACTTGATGTATATGATATATATGTTCATCTGATTGGGCTGAAGTCAGTGCTTCACCGGTGTTTCCACATTCACAGTGGAGCGTGTTGGTGTTTAGTGCTTACAGCACAGAGACAGATGAAGAGTGAGGAGGACTTTAGCAGCAAAACAGACTTTTCTAGATGGAAATATTGGCACTATTTCAGACTCACTGAGGTTAAAGGTTAAAGGTAAAAATGCGCACTTCGAGTGCACATTATGTTCCAGAACAAAACGAAAAAGTAACGCAATAGTTACTTTTACTGGTAACTAGTTACTTTTATAGTGGAGTAACTCCGTTAGTAACTCGGTTACTTTTTGGGAGAAGTAACTAGTAACTATAACTAATTACTTTTTCAAAGTAACGTGCCCAACACTGGTGACAACACAGCCTTGATCTTTCAGCGGGGGCTTCAGGCAAAGTGGGATTAAGTGTCTTGCCCAAGGACACGGTCTCATGGTGGGCTCGAACCCTTAAATTATTGAATTCCATTTGAATTCAATATATTATTGTAAGTAAGTAAGTAAGTAAGCTTTATTTATATACCGCCTTTCACAGATCTGAGTCTCAAAGCGGTTTACAATTGTTAATTTTGGGCATTTGTCTCTCACTCCACACAGAGATGGGAGCGGGGCCAGTACAGGAGGCACATGCCAGACCTATTGTACATATTTTTAGTGGTAGGGGAAACCGGAGTACCCGGAGGAAACCTACGCAGACACGGGGAGAACATGCAAACTCCACTCAGAAAGGCCCTGGTCCGGCCGGGATTCGATCCCAGGACCTTCTTGCTGAGAGGCGAGAGTGCTATCCACTCAGCCACCGTGCCGCCCATTGTATAGCCCTAAATCACAACATTAGTTATCTCGGACGACTCAACAAAACTGTTGAATTCGCCAACACAGATCAGAGAATAAAACAGTTCAAACTCAAGAAACGTATTGATAAAAATAAAAATAAAACGCACAGAGCCATTGGTCCATAAGAGGCAGATGACCAATGTCCATAAATGTGGATAAATGTCCGCAAATGTTGTTGAAAGTTGAGTGTACTGGATAATCACCATGTCCTTTTGTTAGCCCTTCACAAGGGTCCAACAGACACACACACTTATGCTACTGTTGGAACAGCCAGTTCAGTGTTAACATAATTTAGCTAATTAAGCATTAATTTTTATTTTAAAAACTCAGCAGACGCTGTACATGTAAGTTTAGTTGAGGAGGACGGAGGATGGATCTGATATTACACAGACAGAACAAGCTCTGGATATTAGCAAAAGGAGTTTCACTCTGTAAGTGTTAAGAAATAAGTGTTGGCTGGACTCTGCTACCTCTGCACAGAGAAGCTCAATTCAAATTACATGAAGTTGTGTCTACAGAGGCTGTTTACTGGATGGATGGCGTTTCTCTTGCAGTGCATGTCCCCCCCTCATAACCCGATCCTTGTGTTGTCCACAGGAGCAGTTCATTGAGCTGTGCAAGACCCTGTACTGCATGTTCTCTGAGGACACGTGCGAGCAGCAGCTGTACCACTCCATCGCCACAGTGGCCTCTCTGCTGCTGCGCATAGGCGAGGTGGCCAAACGCTTCAACAACCACATCCCTGAGCCCCCCGCGCAAAGCCCCACAGGACGAAAGCCGGACGCGCACTGGTCCATCAGCTTTGAGCAGGTCCTGGCCTCGCTGCTCACCGAGACCCCGCTGGTCGACTTCTTCGAGAGGAAGGCCCTGCTCCGGGACAAGATGGCCGCCGCGCCCCGAAGTAGGAGGGAGTCTGAGTCCGAGGCGCACAAGTGAGCACGGCTGTGGACGCTGCACATGTAGGCACCGAGAGACCGTATGAACAATAAACCTGTGAAACAAAACACTTTTATCACACTATTGTCCACGTAATGGGTGAAGCATGGTTAAAGGAATCCTATGTACAATTTAGCTCCGAAACATAAACGCTCAACGCCTTTGTGTCTGGAGAAGGACCTGCTCCAAGTCCAAAATAATCGACTACGTTTACAAAGCACTAGTGAAAACCAGATCCCTCATCTAGTCCCACTTCAAAAGATTTGTGTAAAACTTCTGCGATTGAAGTGAGAATAACCAGTCCGTTTGGTGGAACTGAATCAAACCCTTTCTACTGCGTTTACGTGGAAAACCGGCTCCTGCTGAGACAAGGCCAGCAGATGCATTCAAGAGCACAGGGAAAAGTGATGATTTGAAAAGCACATTTAATTGTGCTGCAGAAATTAAATAGACTGTGTTTTTAGCATTCTCCAGACACTTATGCTTTGTAAACGTATTCATTGTTGCTGATAATTGTAACAGATGTATTCTTGACTAAAACAAGGAGATGACGTCCAGCCATATTAGCTCTTATAGAAGTATTAAAAGTGTATAGTGAAAAGTTGCTGAAACTAAAACTTTGTTGCTGGTGTACAGATTGTCCAAAAGTGAAGCCTTAGTTACAATGGGAATACTAAAAACAAGAGCACATATACTGAACACTTTTTATCTTGACTATTTGAGGCCACGAAGCAGTTTTATATGAACGTTTGGTTACAACTCTCCTGTTTATTGGGGACATGGTCAAACTGGCCTTTTCACAGCTTCTGACCACATTCTTGTTGATTTCGCTCACTCACAGTTGTTCCTGAAGCGATGCATGCATGTTTTCATTTCTGTGATGCGTGGATGATTCGGCAGCGTCGTGCAGTCGTGTTCGCTCAGCAGAGAAAACAACTGCTGACCGCTCACGTGATCTGAAATATGAGCGGTGCCTTATAATGTGACTGTTATATCGATTATACAATGATCAACGTTGAGATTTCAGATGTACTAAAACTATTGTATTAATCCCAGGGACCAGAGATGAGCACGCTATGTTTTGAAAATCTCTAATCTTGTGTTTTGCTGGTGACGCCTGTGTATGGGAGATGAACTGTTCCATCAGCATTTGAATGTTGACAAATATACATTATGGGCCAAAGTACTGGGCTTTCAGAGCAAATGAATACATGAAATATATCCAATTATATTTTTATTTTAAATCTGATGGAACACATTTTCTTCTATATCTGCGAAGCTGGAGTTCACAGTTTTATTCTCAGATTTCAAATACTATTCCACATTAACATAGCGTTTCATTTCAATATTCTCCTCCACTCAAGACACCATTGCTCCAGCCGTCCCCACTCTCAGCACTGCTCACTTTTGTTAACATGCAAAAGTTTGGAAGGCATATCGTGCACTTTTTGGCACAGATAGCACCAGGCTTTGAAGCCACACACTGATGAAGGAGGGGACCCAAGATCAAACGTGCTCATGTAAAAATGCACACACACACGTCCACAAAGTTGTTCTGAATGATGTTCTGATGGATGCATGGGGCAAGTCTAGTCGCACTTTTAACACACATTTGATCTATTGTTAGAAGCTGCAGTTCCAAAAAGCAGAGGCAAATACTCAATTAAATGTGCGGAATTAAACACTGATCACTTAAACTTCTTAAATGGCCTCAACTCAGGAGACTGATTTATTGTATTCAATATTTCGTTTTTCAGCTGTTAACGTGGCATTCTGGAATTGTGTTTTTATATCTACATTCTGAAGAAGTGAAATGTAAATTAAAATGTAAGTAAAATGGTGACACTAAAAAAGCTGTTTGTCTTTCTTCTGGAAGCTGGTCAAGGGGGTGGTCTCCAGAGAGGGTCTTGTCTAAAGTTGTCATTGTGTGAGAGGATGTGCTGACCCGGAAAGGTTTTTAAGATCAGGACTGAGAAAGATCATTTGCACATCAGCCTCAAAAGGAGGAGGAGAGGAAAATACACATAAATATAAAATTCAATTGAATATATTTGTGTATTGCCCTAAACCACAACAGCAGTCATCGTTGTTATTGATTCCGGTTCATCTTACACACTTCGAACACAAAAAATAGTACCCATGGAGCCGGATGACTAATCTACATAAAAGTGAATAAAGGTCCTGAAATGTCCCGGATCATCACGGTTCTCAGACCCCACAGTGAGAAAAAGGTGAGAAACCTCTGTCAGGCCCATATGAATAAGCTTAAATAAACATAATTCAAATAGGCTTAGAGATAGCGACTAAGCGGGATCCTTTCGTCTACACTGTCTATACCAGGCATGGCCAAACTCAGGCCCGGGGGCCAATTGCGGCCCTTAGTGTCATTTTATGTGACCCTCTACCTTGCTAACCCAAAGTAGTTTTTGAGATTATACAAGTTCACTGTGTCATCCATCCAACTTCAACTCAGCCAGTACAGACAGATGTCGTAACTCATTGTAAAGTCTGTCTGGAATTCAGTTGTTGACTTGTGAGCTGGTGAGATGGTAAACATTTGTCATTTAGCCAACTTCTGCTCCGTTATTGATCATTTAAAAGCTCAGAGCGGCCTGTTTGCCTGTCTAGACAGTTTCTGAGTCTGTGATGTCGGCCCCTGGACTAGTCTGGGGAACTAAAATGGCCCTCTTACTAAAATGTTTGGACACCCTTGGTCTATACCTTCACTATCATCAGTAACAACAATGGTTGAAACTTTTATGATGCTTGATATGTTTATTTGTGTTTATTTGGGGGCGGATGCTTCAGCAGAGTTCTGACTTCAGCAGAGGTCTGACACGGTGGGGGGCATGATGGAATCGCTGATGTTTGGAAAGACGGGGACCACACAACAGTCCAGAGCACTCCGGTGGATGGCCATGTGATGCACCTATTCAACAGAAATACAAGCTCTTAAATACATCACGCCTCAACTCTCAAACAGCATCAAACATTATATATTCATCAATGAAAGTTATCGTGGACTTACTTTCCTTTTTTTCTTTTAAAATTAGGATTTACCGTATTTGGCTGTTCAACAGCCCTCTATATGGGGTCTAATTTGGCACATTGTTTACATTTTGATTGAATTTTGCCCTGAAAATATTAGCATGAGATTAAAAGAAGTCAAAGCAATTCCCCCCAAAAAATACATTTATTCATAATTAAATTGAAAAGCAACAGTTTAAAATAACTAATAAACTTTAGTGAACACTATATATTTATTTTGGCCAATTGGGAAATAAAACTTTTGGACAGTTCTCAAGGGATTGAGAGGAACAAATTAATGGGTGTTCACAGTGGATCATGTGTTTTATATGAAAAGTGCAATATTTTGTACGTTTGTCTAATGCGGCAGATGCGGTGAGTGTGGCGACTCAACACATGCGGCAAACATAGGAGATGAACATTGTTCAATCTTATTGCTCATCGCACGTACAGCAACTTATCAGAGAGCAGTCACGGGAACACAAGCCGTTAAGAACAGGAAGTAGCTAAGTTAATAATATTATTCCATAGCGCTGCTCCGTGAGCAGATAATGGTGTAATCTGTAATTACTGGATGCATCTGCGGTGGGAATACACCCTTACATACTTTTATTTATTGTCAAAAAGGAGCAATTAAAAACAAATACATTTATCTAATTGGTTAATTTTTGGATTGTCCAAAGTTTAAATTGTTTTATTTTCTAAACTATGATTGACAAATCAATAATGTAATGACCATACCTGGGTCCAGCTGTCTTCCGTGGGGTCATAGGCCTCTGCTTCGTGCGTGGTGCTGACGCCGTTGTAACCGCCCACGGCAAAGATGCGCTTGTTTACAACCTCGATGCCAAAATTACTACGGGAGAGTGTCATGCCCGCCAGCTGCTGCCAGGAGTCGGCGTGCGGGTCGTAGACCTCTGTGCTGCGTAAGCGCTGAACCCCATCAAAGCCGCCAACCTGAGCACACAGAGGCAACACACATTGTACTTTTTACCATTTGGGACATACCAGAAGATTGTCCTTAAACTCACTGCGTAGATGAGGTTGGAAAAAGCGACCACACGGACGCCGGTGCGTGGGACGCTCATTGGGGCGATGGGCGTCCACTGGTTTGACTCTATGCTGTAGCGTTCGACTGTCTGCAAACAATCCGTGCCATTGAAGCCTCCACAAATGTAGATCTACCAACAAAGAGAGGTTTGTGTTATAAAAACTAGTTATCATTAAAGTTGCAATGACCAGACCATGAATCCTGACTAGTCCGCTGAAAACTTCACTTGGATAATTGGACGATATTTGGATGGTAATTTTTTGAGTGTCCAAAAAGCGCTATACAAGTTTGATGTATTATTATTATTATTATTATTATCAGTGTTTTTTGTGAATACAAACAGGATTTAATTCCCTACATAAAGCACAAATCAGGCCACATCATTCTGTACAATCCCGGGCCACATCCGACACACCAGTTTTTGAACCTGAACCCATGCTGATCGGGTTTTAAGATTTTAAACACAATTAATCATAATGATACGTACTTTTTTTATATAAAAGTCTGCTTTTGGCAATTGTACGCATGGATCACATGAAGGCATTACCACACTAAACAACAGAGGTGTGCACAAGAACCTGGGATTAAAAACCATTCAAAATACCAACAATTGAGGTAAAATCCCTGGTGTGTAGAGTGCATCACTACTCTGACGTGAATAAACTCAACCCAACAATCCTTTCTAAACATCTGTCCGAACTCGGGCCTGGATCTGCTCCTGAAGGGTTCTGGTTGGCTTTCATTGCTCTATTCTGGCAATAGCACAGTATTGAAAAACCCAAAATGGATCTCCATGTTACTTCCAACGTTGCCATTGAGATACACTACATTACAAAAGGGGAAAAATAGCAGCCAAAGTCTACTTTTGATGGATCCGGAAGTACAGTATTTTACGCATGACTCAACAGCCCACACATGCCCCATAGTTGGTTATACATCACTGTTTTACTCACAACTCCATTGAGCGTAGCACAGCAGGCGTCACTTCGCTGCTCGTTCATGGGAGCAATCATCGACCACTGGTTGGAGCGGAGGTCAAACACTTCAGCCGTGTTCAATCGCGATTGGCCGTTGTATCCGCCCAGCGCATAGATGCGTCCGTTCAGCTCAGTCACGCTCACATAGCAGCGTCGCTCGTACATAGGTGGCATCTCAGACCATGTGAAGGTTGCCAGATCCAGCCTACGCATGGTATTGAAGCGCTCCGTCCTGTTGAAGCCTCCCAGGCAGTAGAGGAACCCGTCGACAACGATAGATCCGTGATGAGCGCGCGGGTTTTCCTCCTGCGACGAGATATTCGTCCAGAAATCCGTCTTGTAGTTGTAAGCTTCGATGGCATTGGTCGCGTCGCCTTCGCTACAGCCTCCGATGGCCAACAGGACTGACTCAGGTTGTCGTGGCCGCAGGGGTAGTTCGTTGTTGAGGAAGAGGTTTCTGTGTACAGTCACCAGGCTGTACAGGCTGCCTGTCAATGGATGATTCAGGATATGGTTCTTGATTACATTATACGGCATCAGAGAATACCGAATCTGGAACACATGAGCACAAGTTGGATTTTCAGAGTCTCATAATGTTTGCAATTTAACCTTATAAAAGAAATATAATACTGCGCTCTGGCCGTACACTTATTGGACCTGAAAGAGTTGAATCAGTGCATCTATCGAGATTGAAACCTGACATTGTGACGGATGGTTCTCACCGTGGGCAGCAGCATGTTATAGTGGCCTTTGCGGCACTTGAGGTCGTGTTGTACCCACTGTACAATGGCCTGGAACACTGTGATTTCCTCTTCCACATGCAGTCCATCGTCTTCTAGAAAGTCACTCAACTCCTCCGCTGTGAGCTGCTGAAATTCCTCGCAGACCATAACTTCCTCAAAGTGCTTCAGGATGAACCAGCGACACACCTCCCTCGTTTGAGCTGAAAGTACCACATCTGCGAGGTGCCAGACACTGATGCAGCTGTGCACATTCAGGTGCTCCAGCATGTAGTCGAAGCAAATCTGAACCAGATCTTCCAGCAGCAGCATATCTGCAGCCATCACCAGCTCCTGGACGGTGTCCAAGCTAAGGTCTACAGAGGCTGTGTAGATCCATTCAAGCAGCAGAGACATGATGTGAGGACTGAGGCCTCCGAGAGGGAAGGCTCTTTGCTCCGCAGGAGCCCAGCGCTCAAACATTGCTCTAAAAGACACACACACAAACAGATTAAGTGCTGAAGAAAAGGTTTAAGGGCAACTTTTAGCTAACCTTTATTTTCCCAAAAACGACATTAAACATTAAGTGTCAATGCAACTGCCTTATACAATAAATCGCTTCAGTGCTCACACCTTATCTAAACATGCAGACTCTAATCTTTTCAGAATCAGAGTCTATATCAATGGGTATGTTTGTGACGTGTTTGTACAAAATATATGAACGTTGATGTGTGCACACGCAGAAACAGAATCAAACCAGTTTGCAAGAGCACACCGCCTAGGACCCCAGCGCGAGGGGGCATCCCGAAGTCGTCCCATCGTGGCCAAACTCCTGGACCCCAGGCATAAATCCATGATCATGGGGAATGCCAAACAGCTCAAAGGGTCGAAGCTTGCCCTAAGCGACCAGTTTCCCCCGGAGGTCATGCGGAGGCGCAAGCTGCTCCAGCCGGCTTTCTTTGAGGCAAGATCCGCGGGAAAGAAGGTCAGGCTATCGATGGATAAACTCTACATCGAAGGTACACTTTATCGTAACTCTCAAATAACTTATTGGCTCACCGGTGGCAACAGCGCGCACGCTGCACCAACGCTCCAGAGCTGACCATTGTAAACACTGTCCCACAAAGACGACGTCATCAGAACGACTCCAGTAGTTGTATTTTTGTAATGATCGAATTATTCCTTTGTTACGCGATTATTCACTTTCCTGTCTTCCCTCCCCAATATGACTCCTTAGCCATATCGGTTTTTAAGTATTGTTGTTGTTATTATTATTATTATTATTATTACCTCTAACCCTAACCCTATTATTAATAATGTTATGAATAATAATGATATCAATGCTATTATTATTTAGTATTCTCCCCACTGTTATTATCTCTTAATATTTTCTCTTTTGCGGCCACGGGGGGAGGGTAAGCCTCCCAACTGCCTTCAAGTGTGATTTTGGACGCAAATCCCGAGCTACCGAATACGAATTGTTATTTGATTTTGTATTTGTAAAATCTCCCTATTTTGGTCCCCAGTTTATTATCCTGGTTATTTACTTTCTTTATTGTTACTATTGTTATTATTATTATTATTACTTTTTATCCCCCCCCCCCCCCCCCCCCCACTTCCTCTCCCTCTCACTACAAACGCTCGCAATTAGTGATGGCAATATGAAGCCCCATGAAGCCTTGAGGGTTTGCAGCCTATTACTCGGCCCATGAGTCGAAGGCTCGCGGTGAAGCATGCTCCACTACGCCATCATGTGGACAAAGAAATGTAATACATGCCAAGGGCCTATAACAAATGGTAGGGTCTGAACATGGGCTGAAAGAATACAGCCAATGATGTGGAGACAGTTGTTATGTAAAATGTGCTTGTGTTACTTTGTTTATGTAAGTGCTTATGCAACTATTGACAGGAGTTGAAAAACAAACAATACAGTTATTCATTTTTATTCAAAAATAATAATTTTTCAAGAGTATTTGGACTCAGGCGATTTCTTTTTTTGCACAGTATTTCACCTGCCTTTGAAAAAACCCGTTCACAGGGCACAGAGGATGCAGGTGAACATAAATATGTAATAGCAAGTTTATATAAATTTGGAAATGTAAACTTATGTTTGTCCCAATATTGAAGGGGACTTTCGAGTCGAGGAATATTTGGCTCCCCCAGGTATGTTTGGACCTCCACTGTAGCGTTGGCAGTTATGTTTGGGGTTTTGGTCTGCTGGCATGTCGTGTCAAAACGTTGCCACAGTTTGCTCCCTAAAACAGAATAAACAGGTTATGAGTGACTTATTAGCACAAATAGAGTATACATATTACCTTCAGCTACAGATGATGAAGGTGGTGGTGATGATGATGATGATGATGATGATGATGATGATGATGATGATGATGATGATGATGATGATGATGATGATGATGATGAAGCAGAAGCGGACAATGAACGTCTCAAAACTCGAGCACATTCGTCAATCAATCTTTTTTCAGCTTCTGCTGCCTTATTGGGGTTGAAGAATCCAATCTTTTTAAATCTGGGATCAAGCAAGGTAGAGAGGGACATGATGCTCATTGATTGGAGGTGGCTGAGCTTGTCCCTCAGTTGGCTTCGCAAATACTCAGCCATGTCTCTGCTCTCAGGTGTTTGGATATGGCCGATCTCCTCTTCTTCCAGAGCATTATGGAGAATGGTCAAAAGTGGAACTACTTTTGACCCAGAGACACTTTTCTCCTCGGACACCTCAATTGTGGCATAGTAGAACGGAGCGAGCACCTTCAGACAGTCTGCAATGATGTTATATTGTTCTGCTGAGATTTGTGTAATGTCTGTACGGAGCCCAGCCAAAGCTGCTCCAACAGGCTCTCTCAGGTTGAACAGACGCTGAAGCATTAAGTATGTGCTGTTCCATCTTGTATCCACCTCTTGAATAAGTTTAAGCACGGAGAGACCCATTTGTGATTGGATCTGTGTAAGTCTCTCCTATAAAACAGTCAACATATTAAAACAGTGCAGGAGCAGAAATAATAATTGACATATTACAAGTAAGGACCTTACCTTTGCAGTAGTGCTGCTCTTAAAGTATCCTACTATCTTACGACAGTTTGTCCTGATGTCACACAACACAGGACTTTGGTTGAGAGCTTTTTTGATCATTAAGTTAAGCGTGTGTGCCACACAAATTGTATGACGCAGATGCAGCTCTCGAGCACAAGCTCCCATATTCGCAGCACCATCAGTCACCAGACATGTCACCTTTCCTGCTAAACCCCACTCTGACATAAGAGAGGTCATCACTCTCGCTAGATTTGCTGCTGTATGTGCCTCAGGGAAATGCTGCACCCCAAGGACAACAGTCTGCAGAGAAGTGCTCTCGTCAATAAAATGACCAGTCACTGCAAGATAGGCATCAGTGTTGATGGAGGTCCACATGTCTGCTGTTAAACTAACAGCAGATGCAGAAGACACCACCACTTTGGCCTTGTCTTTGGCTTCCCTGTATCTCTTCTCCACCATGGCTTTCAAAGTCTGAAAAAAGTAAAGTCTTGAAATAGTGGATCTGAGGATAATAAATTGTTAATAGTTCACATAAATACCTGCCGCGTGGGAAGAAACACAAGATGGTGCCAAAGCTTTCACAAGCTTTCGGAAGCCAGTTCCCTCCACAATGGAAAAGGGCTGGGAATCCTCAATCACCATATCCACCAACGCCTCAGTCAAGTCAACCATCTCAGCTGAAAGAAAATGCACATTAGGGTTAGAAATGTATCTAATGAACAAATACATTCAAATAAAATATATTTAGTGTAATTGTAGGACAATCATCAATTATTATCATGATATAAAATGGCCTACCCGAGACAGGTTCACCTGGGTTGGAATCCACATTGCTATGCAAGGCACGATAGTGCCTTAGCATAGCTGAGGTGTTATTATTATAACCCAGTTGTTTGGAGCATAACAGACACTTCACCTGCAATTGAAAAAACTATTATTCAAACGTATTTATAACAGAGAAAAGTGAGCAAGAGAAATTATGTGTTGTCATATTTGTGTAATCTATTATTACAGAATTATTGATATGCCTTACCTTACTAGGTGAGATCTGCTCAAAGTGCTCCCAAACTGGAGAAAATCTTCTCTTTCTTGCCGGTTCCATCGCAAAAAAGAAGCTCAAATAGGATGCCAAATAGGATGCCAAATGAGAAGCGCAATAACCCAAAAACACACAAAGTGATGAAGGGGAATCCATTGCGTTCACTCGTCCCTTTTATTTCGAACCGCGCTCCAAACCAACGAATCATTTCCTGAATCAGTCACGTGGTACGGCCGTTCGCGAGGCTTCGAACGTCATCACACACGTGACCAATACACGCCTCGACCCACACTTCACAAGAAACGCCCCCAGATTACTCGGTCCACGCTTCGAAGACTCGGTCCGCTCAGCACATCACTACTCGCAATGACTCACACATCCTCTCTCTCTCTGCCCCCCACCACACCCAAACATGAGGCTCCCCATCAAAGTCAACACACTTACAAACACACACACTCACACATACGCCCACACAAACCCCACATACCAACCACATAATTATAACAGAATGTAGAATGGCAACTGTCAAATTAGTGTCATGGAACATTAGAGGTTTAGGTAATCAGAGGAAAAAAACAAAGATTTTAGACCATTTATCCAAGCTCAAAGCGGACATTTGCCTATTACAAGAAACACATGCTACAAACTCAACGTTCAACAATATAAAATCCCCACAGTATAACCAATTATTCTCAGCTCATCTCAATAGCAAACAGAGAGGGGTCTGTATACTAATCCATAAAAAAATATCATTTACCCATCACGGTACCATAGCTCCCCCTTGGACTGCCACCTTAACGTGGTGGGGGAGTTTGAGCACTCGGATGATCCTGGGAGCTATGCTGTCTGGGGCTTCATGCCCCTGGTAGGGCCTCCCATGGCAGACAGGTCTCAAGTGACGAGTCAGACGAAGCGCAGTCCGAAGCCAACCATGGACAGCACGACAACGAAAACCGTGACGTCGCCCGGCATGGCGCAGCCGGGGCCCCACCCTGGAGCCAGGCCTGGGGTCGGGGCTCGCAAGCGAGCGCCTGGTGGCCGGGCCTTAGCCCACGGGGCCCGGCCGGGCTCAGCCCGAAGGGATGACGTGGGCAGTCCCTCCTGTGGGCCCACCACCTGCAGAGGGGTCCGTGGTGGCGTGGTGCAGCGAGGACTGGGCAGCGGTCAAAGGCGGAGACCTCGACGACCCAGTCCACACACCCAACATCTGGCTCTTGGGACGTGGAACGTCACCTCACTGGGGGGGAAGGAGCCCGAGCTTGTGGGGGAGGTTGAGCGATACCGACTAGAGATAGTCGGCCTCACCTCCACACACAGCTTGGGCTCTGGAACCCAACTCCTTGAGAGGGGTTGGACGCTCCACTTTTCTGGTGTTTCCCGCGGGGAGAGGCGGCGAGCTGGGGTGGCCATACTCATTGCCCCCCATCTCAGCCGCCACGTGTTGGAGTTCTCCCCGGTGAATGAGAGGGTCGCGTCCCTCCGCCTCCGGGTGGGGGACAAGTCTCTCACTGTTGTGACGGCCTACGGGCCTAACGGTAGTGCAGAGTACCCGGCCTTCTTGGAGTCCTTGGGAGGGGTACTGGACAGTGCACCGCCCGGGGACTCCGTTATTCTCCTGGGGGACTTCAACGCCCATGTGGGAAATGCCAGTGACACTTGGAGAGGGGTGATCGGGAAAGCGGCCCCCCTGATCTGAACCCGAGCGGTGTTCAGTTGTTGGACTTCTGTGCCAGTCACAGTTTGTCCATCACGAACACCATGTTCGAGCACAAGGGTGTCCACCAGTGCACGTGGCACCAGGACACCCTAGGCCGGAGGTCGATGATCGACTTTGTTGTCGTATCATCTGACCTTCGACCGCGTGTCTCGGACACTCGGGTAAAGAGAGGGGCGGAGCTGTCAACCGATCATCACCTGGTCGTGAGTTGGATCCGCTGGCAGGGGAAGAAGCCGGTCAGACCTGGCAGACCCAAGCGTATAGTGAGGGTCTGCTGGGAACGTCTCGCTGAGCCCCCTGTC